TCGATATGATGTCGCTGAAAATTAATGAGCCAATCGTAGGTATGTAACTGGTACTCACGCTACCGTGGAATAATTAATGATGCGAGCTCGACTCCTCACGAAACTTTCGACGTCGCAAACTCGCGAAAGGAAGTCGCTCCCAATCCCCGCTGACGAGTACATATTCAAATATTTCTCTCATACAAGCTGTACCAATTGATAGAGAACGTGTAAAACAGGATATAAGATACGTTGAATGAATTCGGCGATTTTTTTAAATGAGAATACGCGATATATTTGATAAAAGACACATTTTCGTGGCGATCAACGGCTTCGAGAAATCATTGCACAATTCAATTAGCTCTCTATGCGTAATTTAGAATTATCACAGACACGAAGGAGAATTGTCAATAATGCCAAATTAATTAATCAATATTATCTCCCTGATATGTAGTGTGATCTGATGGATTAATGAAATCCCGCTTCTATCTCCGACAATGCCTGCGTTTTAGCTATCAGTACGATAAACAATGCCTTCAGTGTGCATTTATGTCATTCCTGTTGCAGTTAAATATTCGCTGAGAGAACATTTAGTATGTGCATATATGTTGCGATTATTTGTTAAATTATTTACGTTCTTTACTGACTAAACATTAATCCTTAGAAAAATGCGATATTTCTACAATCAAGACGAACGAGCACTGTTGATAATCAAAGTATTTCACGCCAAAATATTCTGAGGCAGATAACTATTAGATGTCTGGAATATTTAATATATGTACAATCCCTGACACAATAACTCTGTTCGTGTAAAATATGTATCCGTTATAAATTAAAAAGATATGAAAATATAATCTCTATACAAAGAGATATTTTTATTATTAGCTTTTCGAGAGAGATAAATTATTTTCGAAAATATTATTATTTATGGAGAATTTTACTCAAGATGTGAAAGACTTTGAAATCAGCTGGGAGTAAAATAAAAAGCTCTGCAAAGAGATGTTAGTTACTCTCTTCTTACAAGAGAAAATTTGTGTGCTAAGCGCGACGTGGGATCGAGCTACGGTGGTGGATTTCTCTCCTCCATTATACGAGCGATAATTCCGGAAGTTCTATACGTTCTACCCAGGTCATCCAAGCCCATCGATATTCGAGGCGCGTCTTGGGCGGCCACAAATATCGACAGGTACGGAGATAACGCGAGCACACACCTCCGCTCCATTGTTCTTTGCGCCGCGCGAGCTTCTAATTACGGCGCCGGGGGTTCGCTCTCGGCGTACCGCTTGATTTGCGCGGCCCACGGACCGATGGTGGCGTTACGTTAATTACACGCGGACAGGTACATGGTTTTGCCGGACACGTCAATGCTTCATTAAGCCGTACCTCGGATCCCTCGGCTGCCGCACGAGCGTATTCCGACGAAGTCGAAGTTTCGTCGGCGATTAACGCCCACCGCACGGCCCAACTTGCCAAACTACGTCGCTGCGAAAATATACTTCAGATTCAACGAGCGCGCGTACTAATGCGAATTTTCGCATGTCTGACAATGGTCGAAATCGACAATACATCGCGTTTATACGTATAATTTTACCTTTCCACGGTAGCATGCAATTCAATAATTATCGAAAAAATTTCGCCCAAGATTGCGAGAATCTAATTACTTATTTTATTTTATTTTAGAAAAAATGAATGATTTTATCTTGAAAAATAAATAATCTAATGCGTTTTTGTATCGTAAGCTAAAGAATTTAAACATTTTGATATGATAATACGGCGGGGGTATAAAGGGAAAAAATGATACAATAAAAAGATAATTGTGGAAAATATGAATATTCATCTCAATAAAAATGCAAATTAATCTTAAGATTAATGTATATTTAAAAAATATAATCTCATGATATTTAAAGACATTAACGGAAATAATATTTTTTGCATTTTTTTTGCAATATTTTAAAATTATCTACTACACAGCAAGACTAACGACAGCTAATTATATTTACGGCTATTCCGTAAATATAAAACTCACATAACGCAATCTTAGATTTTGAATATACTTTCGGTCGTGAATGTCTAATATTATGCATTATTATTATCCGGATTATTTACAGTTGGTAGAATCTTATTTTATCTTGCACCACGCAATATCGCGTAAATTTAACGAAACGGCGGAAGTGCAGCGCACAAAGCACCGTTCGCAACACGGAGAACAACGAGTTAATATCATCGTGCTCTGGCACGACGATCTATTTCCCCATTCAGAATTGATATTTCTGAATTATACTCGGCGGCGGGCGAATTATCATTTACGATGTCGTTCTCGCTGTGGCTGTAAACATGGAAATACGGCCGTCGTAGATATTACGGATGGGCTGTGCACGCATGCACGCACGCTCACCGCACGCGTTCACGCAGGCAGATAACCGCGGACGAACATTCATTGACCTGCGGTCGAAAGTGCATCACACGCTTCCGCTTCCGCGGCTTTGACCCGCGTTGTTTGCATTCTTCCCGAATAATATGCGGGTGATATAATCTTTGAGAAAAAGACAGATATAAGTAAAGCATTTCGCATAAGAATATAAAGTTTCGAGAATTGACTGCAGATTAATGGAAGGGAGAAAGAGAAAGAGAGAGCGCATAATTATATTTTTTTTTTATGTTTACGGAAATTGAAGTACATGAGATTATAATTTAAATGATGGTAACGATTTAAAAGATATATTTTATTCAATTCATACTTTTAATCATGACGCTTTAAATTACTTGATTCAGAAATAAGAATAGAAATAGATCAAATTAGTAAATAATTTTTTTTTAATTTATAGAAACAACTTAAAAATTCGCGGACAAATTATTAAAGAAACAACAGTTGCAGTCTATAGACAGAACCGTCTTTGTAAAAAAAAAAAAATGATAGAGAAATAGAGAAATAATAGAGAGGATTAAAATCTGACGCTCTGGAATTTTAACCTTTTTCAGAAAAAATATATGCGCAATAATCTATAAAATTTGTACTTGTATTAGTGAGCTGTTTTATTCTGAGAGAAAAAGAAACAATGATTTGGCGATAACTTTTAATTACAAAAGATGAAGAATTACGAATTATCTTTCCGACACAATACGACATTACAACAGATTTAGATTCATAGTTATTCAAATCACTCGAATAGCTGTGGAAAGCGTGTGCACGCGACTTAATTAGAAATTACAGCTTTTTGCGTGGGCGCTCCGCGCAAGTTAATCCAAGGCAATAATGCAAAGAGCTAATAATACCCTCGCCAGAAGCTGCTCCGAGCAGTATACAGTTGGCTCGAGCAGCAACACTACTGCATTAAAGGAAAGAAGATATAAACTTCCTCTCAACGTAAACGACTCGCTCCTTCTCTCTCCCACTCCCGCCTCTCTCTCTCTCTCTCTCTCTCTCTTTTACTCTTTCTTTTTTTACCTTGCAAAATATTTGCACCAAAAATTTGATGTACGAATTTATAATGAAAAAGATACACAAAAATAATGACGAAATAATAAGATAATAAGATAATTAGATAAATTATTTCTAGAAGTTTTATTCACACACAGTGGTATTTTGTAATTTAAGGATAGTCTAAAGATGATTTAAAAGAAAAAGGCTATTTATTTTATTATAATATAAAAATTATCTGTAGAGAGAGAAAAGATGAAAAAAATTTGATATAAGGTACGGAAAATGTTGTAGAAAAAAAGGGAAAAAAAAGACGTAAATTACGGCTGCTATACAAAAAAGAAAAAAAAAGTAGACGTAAACTACGGCTATCGTTCTCACGATATATTTTTATACGAAAAATTTAGTGCATGATCTTATAACGAAAAGGAAGAGAAAAAGAGAGAGAGAGAGAGAGATACATAAAATTATTATCTTAGTATAGTTTAACAATTAACTAGAAGAATTAAGAAAAGATTTGATTCAAAGTACAGAGAATGTTGTGATAAAAAGATCTTGGCAGATCTCAAAGAAAATGAAACATTTTTAATATGTTTCAACGAGCTTGCATGCATTTATGATATGGCGCAAAGTACGCGAATGTAGTTAGATATGCATTCATTAGGCGGACATTGCATACGCATTTGGGATGCATCAGTAAATGAGTTCGTTCGACAGAGACAGAGAAACGATGTAATTGAAGAGACGAACATGGGCGCGATATGCATGCAGTTTGGATCACCGTAAAATGCGGACTATGAGAGAACGTGCGCCTCCCTCTTCTCTTCTGCGTTCACTTCTCGCGATCTCTTTGTCCGACGGTTAGTGCTCCTTTGTTCGGTTCGTGTTTTCGGGTCATCCTAGAATTTGCCGCTGAATTGTTGGCACGCCGAGTTTCGGTTCCTGTGCCACACCACGAAACCGGCGGACGCCCACGAAAACCAGCGATTTTGGTGCAATGCCGTTTGCTCTCTCCCCCGTTCGTCGGTCGTCTCGGTCCAGAAACGCGTGAGATCGAGTTTTAAACCATGGGTCAGCTATGGGAATAGTCGACTAGATGGCTTTAGTTTGATTGCGGTGTACAACTCCGAAGAATTAATCTTCGAATTAATCTTCTCTCACGCGTTTTTTCTTTTTGTGCAATTATATAAAATTTAATATATGTATATATACGAATGTTACACGCAAAAAAAATGTTGCTCATGTTCGCGAAAATAATGATTGAAAGCACAATAAAACACGAATCATTACTAATAAAAAAAATTAATTCCTAAACCATCATTTACTCGAAGCATTGATGAGATAATATTGGCATGAAATTAATAAAGGAATATTAAAAAAAAATTATGATTGCAGGCCAATCATGTATAGAGACACTCAACGTCGCATATATTATTTATAGTTGATACCGTGATTAATCGGCGTGATATCAGCTATATAAATTTGATATCTTTTACGATTCTGATTTAAAAAGCCGTTCAAAATTGCTTCGCGACAGTTGAAGCGAAACGTAGCGCGAAGTAGCTCGGTTCAAATTTTTCTCAAGGTGATATCAACAATCGTCATGGGATCCCAACGAGTTATTCGAGCTTTCTTGTTTCTGATGGTGATTCAACTTCACTGCGAAATTTTGCTAGCCGAGAACGGCGGAAAACATTCGAAATCCGATCTTATAATCCGAATATTACCAGAAAAGTCTAAATATTTGTCGGATAGCGAATATGATGACAATCTAGATGACTACTTGGACTATAAAACGCAGTATTTGGACCTTAATTCATATATAAACAGAAATTCAATAAAGCATTTGGATAACGAATACATGAGCAATTTGAAACAATTGTCCGGTCATAAAATACATCGTTCTGATCCATATGTAACCAAAGTGCCAGTAAGGAGCTCTCGATCGAATAACGAATACACGGCCAATTTAAGACAATTGTCGGATCGTAAAATGCGGTTTCCGAATTCTGATCCACATGTAACCGAAGTCCCAGCAAGGAAATCTATATTCTCGGATAACGAATACGCGGCCAGCTTAAGACAATTGTCGGATCGTAAAATGCGGTATCCGGATTCTGATTCACATGTATCCGAAGTGCCAGCAAGGAGATCTCAATCTTCGAATAGCGAATACGCGGCCAGCTTAAGACAATTGTCGGATCGTAAAATGCGGTATCTGGATTCTGATCCACATGTAACCAAAGTGCCAGCGAGGAGATCTCAATCCTCGAATACCGAATACGCGGCCAGCTTAAGACAATTATCGGATCGTAAAATGCGATATCTGGATTCTGATCCACATGTAACCAAAGTGCCAGCAAGGAGGTATCAATCATCGAATAGTAATTTAGACGATTCGGATTATTTAGAACAATACTCGGATCCTTCTCCGCGTTTAGACTTATCAGGCAGCTTCACACAGTCGCAAAGAAGAAATCTTGAAATATTGCCAAGATTTAACTCTAAACATTCCGATACGATTGATCTAACACAATCTTCAGGAAAACGATATTTACATCCTATTGCGTACGTACTCGATCAGGATTCAGCAAAAAAGTTACAAGCGGCGCAAAGCTCTTCTAAACCTTCTCTCCGAACATATCCTGATTCCAACAATGTCCAACAGTCAAATACTCGAAGATTTGATCTAGGGGCTGCGGTAAAACTCGCAAAATTGGGTGTAGAGGGTATGACTTTATTACCACAACTCATTTTTGGTGAGGTAGGAAGCCCGAAACATTATCATTACGATGATGCCAAAAGAAGACTTGTGTGTACTAGAGGAACGCAATTAGTAAATAATCGTTGTGAACCGATTTTCTATTCTGAAAATGGCAATGACGCTAGGATCAGGAAAATTGTCCGCATATCTGATATTAATTTAGACCGAGATTTAGACGATGACGATGAGAAAAAAATAGGAGATATTACACAGATATCCGCTTTGTACAAGACAGACAGAAATATTGGGAGTTATTATCAAGAATCCGGAAAAGAATGATTACTGTTGAAATATTGATATTATTTAATTAGAAATAATTAAATACTACATTTCTTTAAAATTAAAATGATTGAAGTTAAAACAATGAAATTGCATTTCTTTCTTTTATTTTTATTAAGTTATAAATTTATTTGAAAGTTAGAATTGATGATGAAAACTATGACTGATATGAAAACAGATTAAAAAAGTTTTAGAGAAAATAATAATTTTATGTATTGTACATTTATATTTCTTATCACGAAATAAACCAGTGATATAAAACAATAAAACAATTTCGATAATTAACCCCTGTGCATACAGATATTATATTCCATACATATTTTGGGAAATAAATAAAATACTCTTTATCTTATACATACACACACAAATTATTCTCTATTAAAAATGTGGAATAATATATATAATAACTTGTAATAAAAATATATTATCATTATTTTATTTAATAATTATTGATATTCCACAAATATCTTCCTCTTCCTTTCATGATAAAACCGCTCAGTTTTACCATTACTCAGTTTATGCAACATCCTATACGTGACAAGTCTCTAATACAAACGTATCGTTTCAAGATTAATCTGCACGTGTAAATGTATTCAGGCGTACATGGCATTCTGCAAATTGCTCCGCGAAACACGTCTTTCGCGTCGTTACGGGATTTGCGGCTGAATTATAGAGGAGGAGGCTTCTACAGAAGGAGCCGAGGAAAGCCGACAATATCTGCAAACTGCGAACTGCCGAAAGGCCATTTTATTACAATAGCACGAAAGCTGTAGGAGAACGAGAATCGTAATCTTTGGATCGTAGGACGACGTGTCACGGCTCGGTGATTGTCGTTAGATGGAAGAGGAACTTTATAAAAACGAGTTCTCTTTTCGTAGAGTTGTCCGATTGAACTCCTACTTTCCCCATTTACTTGGGTACTTCCGCCCTTCTTCTCCCTTTTTCCCCTTTCTCTCGTCTTATTCTTCTCTGCCAGAGAACTTCCTGCCGCATTCTCGCAGATTCTCTTGTCCGGATAAACAACACACGTGTAATGCACTTCTTTGATTCTATTACGTGGACGTTTTCTATCGCAAAACATGCAGTTTTAAGTGTTAAATTAAAATAATATTAAATCAGGATATTTTTTTCTTTATAACACAAAATTGCGATATATGCAATTTTCTATTTATTTTAGAAAATATTTCACCAATTCTATTATTTCGAATAAACCTCTACATTTTCATAGAGCTCTCGAAATAATTCTTTGAATATACATTTTAACATATACATTTCTTAAATATTCTGCGTTTAATCCTTGTCATGCGCGGCGTATGATACATATTTTATCTAAAATATAATTTTTGTATTGATATTTTATGCGAGATATATCGATTTGCATTAATGATTTTGATTTTTTTATCTGTTTAAGCAGGTACCAAAATGGACGCCGAGGCAGCGTTGTTGGAAAATTCGCCGACTTTGTCGACGATCTCGTCGGATTCCACGGATGCGACGTATTCCGGACCCGGCTCGCCCTATTCCCCGGAATCACCGATCATTGTCACGTCCTCTTATAAAAAAAAGCGTGACAATGAAGTCACGCCTAGACCAACGCCCAGGCATCTATCCAACAAACCAAGCTTCCGGATACGACCGCCCTACCTCATGATCTGCATCAGCATCATCGAGGTGAGTGAATGCCGGATGTGATAAATAATAACGTAATTACGAGATGACATAATAATGATCGATATATGATCTGCATCAGCATCGTTGAAATGAGTGAATGCCGGATGTGATAAATAGTTACGTAATTACGAGATGACATAATAATTGACGATATAATACAAGACCATCTTGTATCTTTAAATCATTATACTTGATAGTAACAGCTGTTATTTACAAAAATGTCGCGGTTCTTTTTCTTTTGCGTTAGGTTGTCTCTCTCATGCACTTTGTTATTTCTTTACAACGTCTTCATATTCATATTTCTATTACACTCGAACCGACTGCTGTTCTTGCTAGAAAATAAAACTCTCTCATCGAATAGGACGCGAAATATATTACAGACGTTCCAGCGGGCGCAAGTCGAGCGGAAAAAAATGGTCGCGAAGCGTAAGCTTGAGGATTTCTCATTAACAGAACCAACCGTGTCGTGTTGAGTTCTCGAGCAAGAGGACGAAAGGAAAGCGTAATGGGAATCCTTCCCAATTATACGCGTGAATTCACCAGAGAATATCCCAGAACGATATCCCGAGAGATGTCTGATGGTGAAAACTCCAAAAAGTGCGGAATCTCTCCGTGGCTTTTTCGCTCGATAATAATCTCGGAAGCCCCGCGCGCGCGGGCGCGCGCTTTATTTTGCATTTCAGCCGGAAAATAAATAAGCAGCGACGGGTACGCGCAATAAAAATGCGCGAATTTAAAACCGCAAAGTTATACCGCAATTTCTTACTCGTTTACCACGGAATACGACGAGAGTTAATCACTTAGCTTTATTCTCTTTTTTTTTTTAAGTCGTTGCACGAGTCGCCGCGAAACGAGATCAAAGAGAATGTCCATTACAGATGCTTCTTTCAGTCTAACAATAAGCTCATTTTGCAAAAAGATATGAAAATTAAGTCTATGAAATTAAGTATATACAGGGTGGGCCCAAACGTTCCGACCAGAGTTTGAGATTTTATAGGAAATTTAATTCTGAATAAAAAGTTTTCTTTAAACATGGGTTGAAAAATGCTTCCTTAAAAAGTTAGCGCCCAAACATCTCTGAAATCACGGTTATTTTATACATTTTTACAAATATCAGGGAAAGTATACGTTTTTAATAAAAAGTATGCATTACGTATCATTGTACAACTAAAGACGTATCGGAAAATAGCTGCGCAATGATACCTAACGATATCGTTAAAAATTATAGAATAGACCTTTTAATATACTGCATGTATCATAAATGTAATTTTTAATTTTAATTAGTATTATTGAAACAGTAACATTATTATTTCGCATTCGACGAACAATTAATTCTTCTGTAAAAGCAATAAATTTAATTTTAAAATTAATATCGTACAGATATAAAACGCTGAAATTTCGCTTGAAGTGAAAAGCGAATGTAATTCTGTAAGTGGCATTTAAAAAAGAGAATTCATTTGAAATTAATGATTCTCAGATTGCTGAACCAATCCTAAAAAAATTTAAATTGAACTTAATTTTAATATTAAAGCTAAAGTCGGTGAGAAACTTGATAAGATAATATTAGTGCATGATTTATGGAAGATATAGGATATAACTGCATTACGAAAAATTTATATACGTATTTTTTTAGTAAGTCTTGATAAATGTATCACATAATACGACGCTTCTTAAAGTAATATGATAATTATCATTAATTCAAAACATATACATATATCAATTTTAACGCGCGAAAATATTAATTCTCAGACATTTTGTTGGAATATTTATATAATAAAATTAGATGCTATATCAGATGTTTATAATTAGATAATCCTCAATAAAAAATTTTTTTAACTTGTAGAAATTATAGAAAAGTTGTAGAAATTATAGAAAAGTATAAAAACGATATAGACGTACAAATTTTGTTTTCAGTATGCCAAAAAGTATTATTAAATCTCTCAAAATTTTAACGATTTGCCATAAAAGAAAATTGAATATGGATTTATAAAAAATAAAATTGTCATTATTAGAATAAAATTTACATACTAGAACAACTTTTGGATAAAAATACTTTAAGTATTAAATAATTTCTAATTTAATAATTATATATGTGTATAAAATATATGTTATCTTAATGAAAAACGTGCCATAAACAGCGACCATTTTCGAAATGGTTCAACGAGTCATCTTCATGTATACTTGTATAGATAGAGAAATGAGGTAGAGAGAGACTTTATTTGTGCATTTTTTAGTTTAATGAAATATTCAAAAAGTAACGGTACTCGAGCAAAAGATTAATTTTTTCAGACTCGCATATATACCAATATCCGAGTCGTGGAATTTTACTTGCGAAAGAATCATTTGCAAACGGAGGAACACGTGCGCTAAAGTATGTAAACCTAAAACCGCGGAATTAAAGGCGGCTACTAATTCACAGCCGCAGTCCGTGAATTTCAACTTTATCGCGGCAGTATTGTCTGGTGAAAATTCGCTGTTGCAAGTGGAAGATATAATTTGTAATATACGAGACAGCGTGTGTAAACACACGTTTGAGAATATACGCTGAGGTGCTTTGCACTAAAGGTGGAAACGAAGAGCATCGGCAACGTTTTGCGCGATAAAAAGGAACGAACCGCAATATTTATCGCCTCGACGCGATTCGCCTCCGCGAATCGTTTCTCGAAATTCAAAGGACTTTGCATCCAAAACGCAGCAGCAAGTGCAGAGCAATAGATGGAAAATGATAAAGCCATTACATTTCATCTTTAACAGGATTTATAAATAATACGCGTATAAAATTAAATGTCTATGAATAAAAGATTTTATGCGCATTTCGATGCGCGTGTGTGTGATATGAACAGAAAAATTGTAAAATCCTATATATATATATAT